ATCAAAGGAAAGTAATAAATAAAAGCAGCAAAAAACAGATTATTTGAGCTGAATATGTGCTCTTTCATTTGCTTAATACTGCACATTTTTTTAATTATTCATATGAATTTATCTTTAATAGATCTCCTTGCTAAATCGCGAGGTTTATTTACATTTTTTCATCTCTAAGTTATTGAGTTGCAACGTCAACTGTTGACAATTTTTTTTATTCCAGTTTTAACAGGAATTATTTGAAGGATAAAAATAATATTAAATTTATCTTGAAATCTTTATTATATAACTCACAGTATAATGAGTCATAACGAACCATGCAACAAATAAACAATAAATTGTCATTTCCAACATCATACATAAATAAATGAGCAAGGTTTCCCTGAATTATGACCCTTCACATACACACTGAGCTCTTTTAGGTTATTTACTAATACGTGCAATATTAATTTGTGTGACGACTTGAATCAAACTAATTGGATTATGCGTTCCAATAATACGAATTATCCATCACTTAAGAAGACTGATTCAAAACTTTCAACTAGATTAATTATTTTCATGTATAGCAAGCGAGAGCGAAAAATCAAGCTACTAACAATAATTTAATTTGTAATACAATAATATTTATTAGCTTTCAACTTCAAAAAATAATTGGTTTTTCCCGCTATACATGTTTGTTTAACTTAATTCATGGAGGAGAGAAATTTTGCATGGAGTAAGAAATGAATATGAATAATTAAATTTGGAATTATGTGAGTTAATATGTGACATTTATTTGACAAAATGTATTAATTACATCAGAAAAATCACTTCGGAGTGGCATAATAAAATTTCAAGTTAATATAATTAGATAACATTATGTAAATTGAAACATTTGCTTAAGTTTGTTTTGCTCGAATGTTTAATTGTAAGCAAGTTACAAAGGAGAAATTACCTTTAATAATTTTACTATATACTACTTTAATATTAAATACTATAAAAAGTTCAGTCATCCAATAAAGACATTTAAAATAGAATAGAATAGCATACAAAATTCGTTGCTCATATTATAGATTTCAATGACTATTTATTTTTAGAGGATGTATTGGGGAACGGTCTTTAATGGTCTCGGAACCTGCTCGTTCCAGCTTGATTGTCTCAATTTTATTGATGGTATAGTTTTGTAGCTTTTACTATGTCTTTTATAAACTCTTCTGCTTCTACTTGCTACAATTTTATTGTGATTACTTTTACACTATTTAATTGGTTTTAAAACTACTGTTTTAATATGTTATACTATGTTGTTCCTTTGTAAATTTTGCATGTTTATCTTTTAAATTGTTCTTTTAACTGACACTTTCAATATATTGCTGTTTTAATGTTTTATCACCTTACATGATTTTTGCTGCTCTGCGCCCGCCATGTTCATGGGCCGTTTGCCATGTCTGATATGTATTTTATGTTTGTACTGTTTTCTGGTTATGTATTTTTTGATTTTAATAAACATTTACCCGTATGTCCTAAATAAGGGCGGGTCGGGGAAAATATTTCCATGACTATTTATTTTTGTTTAGATATTATGCTATTATAAAACCAATTATAAAAACATCTAAAGTTCATTTTTTATTAGTCATTTCTTGTAATTAAATATATATTATATTTTGAATGCTCTTTGAAAAATCTAAATTAATTTCATTAGATTAAGTTGTAAGATCTAACTACCTGTTTTGGATGTCATAGACGCTTTTAATGCTTAAATTAATACTTTAACATGACTTCTATAACAAGTTAATGTGCAGAAACTTGGCCCTTTTCAACTTTTGTGCTAGAATCAACTTTTGTGCAAAATCAGTTCAATCTGTTTCAATTTTTAATGCATGGAAGTTTCAAATTCGTTTACTATTTGTTTCGGAAATATTTTTAAACATTTTTGCACAAATTTGGGAAACCTTTTCTTACAGTCATGTAAAACTGTTTAAAATTGCTTAGCACATTTCTTTGAAACTTTAACTACACTCAATAATTTTGAGTCACCCTGTATTTTCTAAATGCCAAGGCATTTCTCTAGCTTTCGAGTAAACTACAGTCATAATTTCAATCAATCATCTTTTTAACATTAAATGCTTCCAGTTATTTTTATTAGTAATGTAGTTATGGTGGGAGAGATAACATATTTTAATGTAAATTAAAAATATAAAGTACAACCAATATAAATTACAGCCAATTTATAATGATTATAAGCTACAGTCTATTAAAAATGAAAAACATAGAAAGTAAGCATTAGTGGTATTTAGCCGTCGTCTTACAAAAACGATACTCTACAGCCAATGGTCTCGTATTCTGGAAGCAACAAGTCCTTTTAACATAATATTTACACAATTGGTCAAAATATTAAATATTTTTACTCATTACAAAATATTACTCTCTAATGAAGAAATCAAAGTTAATTTTAAATACAAAACATCTGGGATAAGTGTGAAAACACCACTCACAAGAAAGCTCAACGTTTAATTTATTCAAGACGGTTTATAGCCGCCTTCTTTAATGCATATTTTTTTAAACCCTCTCCAAAATGAAGTTTCCAAATGAACAAAAAGTCGCAAATTAACACTAAATTGAAAGGGATTTTATGAAAATTTGATTAATCATTATTTAAATCTCTAGCTTGGAAGTTTAGACAGTAGGGTTTTTCCTTTTAAATATCTATTGGCGACCCCTAAAAGAAACTTTTACTCCATAATCGACAAGTGTATGAAAATATATTACAGCAGCAGTTCGTATGAAACAGTTAGCTGTTTTTTATTACAAATCTTTTTTCGTAACCATATTGTAAATTTTTTTTTGAATAAAATTTTAATTTTTTCAAAAAAGAAGTTTAGTTTCTCGATGCTAATAAATTATTTTATTTTCTCAAGATTTTGCTTGAATTTCTGTTCTGAATTGTTTTTATGTATTTCATGTATTTTTCCTAGACTTATACAAAATCTTCGGGGTACTGAGAGAGTTAATTTCGGCATTTAATTTGGCCTCTCTCTCAATAGAAAAGGTTTTGTTTTATGGTTTCCGAGGCCGGTACCCCCTGATGACGTCAGCTTCGCTGGTCATATTTTTATTTTTATTTCCTTTGTTTTCTTTACTGCTATATCGATGCTAATAAACTAATTTGAATAGTAAATCAAATAATAAAGGTACATTTATTAATACCATAAAGAATAAGTACCAGATACAACTTATTTCTCATATATAATATTTATCGATAAATCAAATTCTAAATATCTTAAGTTAAAAGTTTAATAAATAAGCTTTTAAGTCATGAGTAAGTATATACAGAATTGTTAAGTGTTAGCCATCAAAAACTGATAGTGTAACAGAGGGCAGTATAAATGCAATGAAATTACATACATTCCTTGAGGGAAACTTAACAAAACTTAAATTTTCAATTTAACTATTAGTTACTTTTTTATTGCTGTAAATCATTTACACTGCATAAGAAATACATCAAAAGTCTAATTAATATTTATTTCTTCATTAGTTTTATAAATAAAAAACTGTCTGAGTAATGCTTCATAGAAGCTTAACATCTGAAATTGTAATTGTTAATTACTTTTTAAATTCTACGACAGACTTGGAATAAAGTATAATTTTTTCTAAAGTGCAAAACACTTTCCTCGCAAACACTTTATGATGGAACGTTATTTCATTAATGGAATGATTTTTTTTTTTAACAAAACACAACTGCAATGAGATTGCATGAATTTTTAAAAAAAAAACTTTAACACAACTTAAATTTCAAATTTAATTATTAATCCCTTTTTAATGCTATGAATTTATTTAACCTACTTGAGAAAACCGAAAGAATCTTACTATTATTAATTCCTTCATGTTATTAATAATATAAAAACCGTCTAAATATTTCTTTATAAGACTTTTATATTTAAAAATTACTTTTTAAATTCTGCCTAAGACAGACTTGGTATAAGGTGGAATTCTTTTTAAAATGAAAATTCCGTAAGTAATTGCAAACTCTTTATGAAATAACGTTATTCCGTTAATTCAATGATACCCTTCCTAGTAAAACACAAATTCAATGAGATTGCATTCATTTGTTGAGAAAAACTTAAAAGCAACTTAAATTTCAAATTTTATTATAAATTTATTTTTAATGCTCTGAATTGATTTATATTACTTAAAAATTTATTTATATTACTCAAGAATATATTTATATTATTAATGAATTAAAAGCCATCTCAGTACTTCTTTCATAAAACGTTTATATTTAAACATTTCATTATAAATAACTTTTTATAATGAAAATGTTTTTTGATGGAAAATGTTTTTTGAAATAATTTTATTCCATTAATGCAATGATTCACTTTCTAGTAAAACACAAATGCAACAAGATTGCCTGCATTTGTTGAGGAGAACTTTAATACAACTTAAACTTCAAATTTAATTATTAATTCTTTTCCATGCTCTGAATTTATTTATACCACTTTAGAAAAACCGAAAAAATATAATTAATTTTAATTCATTCGTTCAATCAATAAATTAAAAGCCGCCTGAGTACTGCTTAATAAAACTTTAATATTTAAAAATGTAATTAATAATTACTTTTTAAATTCTGTCTAAGACAGACTTTAAATAAATTTGAATTCTGAATTACTGAAATGGAATTACTGAATTTGAATAACTGAATTATGAATTACTGAATTTGAATAACTGAAATGGAAATTTTTAATGTTTCTTGGCAATAATAAATGTTTCTTCAAACCATATATAATACATTTCTATACATAATACATAATATAATATATTTCTAATTATATCGGAATTTCATTAATACAATTATTCTCTTCCTAGTAAAATATAAATGCAATGATTTTTATTTAATGCTTGGACACAATATCACTGCATGTGTATATTTTTATTTATCACAATCAACTATTTTTTGTTAATTTACTGCCACAAGACAAATGCAATTAATATATTTTAATTGAGAAAAGTAAAAGGAGCGTAAATTTTTTACTTACCCTTAGACCAGGGGTGATAATGGGTAGGAAAATAATTTATGGGTGAAGGTGGCCGTGAAGCAATGATGCTTATCATGGAAAAGCAGAGCAGCAGGTGAACAATGAAAGCAACTTTGATTGCCATTGTGAATGTTTTGAAGTTTTGGAAGAATAAACTGAGGCAATAGCAGCAAGAGAATCCAGGAGAAGTAAATCGTGACAGGTCTTTTATAAGACAAAATCTTCGAAGACAGTGTGGGAGGGAACTTTGCGCGCGCTTTTGACGTCATGTCCCTGCTTTTCCGACAAATCTTTCTTTTCTCAATTTTCTGATTGGTGTTTTGCGAGGGTGGTTAACGTATCAAGTTGCGGGGTTATTGAAAATTAAACTCTTATTAAGGTTGAAAAGACAAATCAATTATAGGTGTGTGTTTATCTTTCTTTTCAAAAGTTACTTTTTTTATTTATTTTTAATTTGCATCTCTGAAGAAACTAGTTGATAATTAATAAGTAAGATGATCGTGTTATTTAAATGAGATGAATTTCTCAATTTTGAAAATGAAAATTGCATTTTATGAAGAAACAAAATCTCGTCATCACTTTGTAATATGCAGTTTATATTTAGGCAAAATTTAATCTAAGTTTCAAAGCATTTTGAAAAGCACTTTTCAATGAATACTAACACTATAAAAATTTCCACCATTATTATGTTCATATTAATTGATAAAACTATGGTGATACTATGGTTTTCTTTCAGAAGTGTAATTCGAAAGTCTTACATCTGGGTGACTCATATTATTATATTGATAATGAGGTGTTCAATAAACAATGTCAAGCACATTGTTTAAGAAACTATAATTTAATATTGTTCGTTTATAATAACATACAGTACCCGCAAAAGTGCAATGTAAGTCAGAGGGTCACGAGGATTAGGGCTCAAAAATTTTGCGACCAACCAGATGAGTCAGCATTGCGCATCAACCGCTTCTATTTCTTACACACTCTGATAGTCATTAATTTGAAGCTGTATGGGCTTAAAAACCCCATTGAGGATAAACTATATTACAATGACAATATAGTGCCTGAGCCACTGTAATACAGCGGTCAAATAATGTATAATATTGACTCAAAAAAATTTTTTTTGTTGTAATGTCAATGCTTGGGAAGTGTTCATACCATGATGAGACAAAACAGTGAATAATAAGATTATCCTGTTATTTTCTTTTATTTCCAAATTGCTTTAGCTCCAAATTACTTTATCTTCAAATTACTTTATCTTCAAATTACTTTATCTCCAAATTACTTTATCTCCAAATTACTTTATCTCCGAATTACTTTATCTACAAATTACTGTTTTTTTAGAAAAAAATCTAAATTACATCTCACTTCATTAGAAAAAAAAACGTAATAGCAACTGTTTTTTTAGGTATACAACTTTATATTACATTCCTTTATATTACATACATATTGCTCAAAAACTATAAGACCTAAAAACTTGAAATTACAAAAATGTTTTAAAAAAGTACATACTGGGAATACCATGAAATAAAAAAAATCTATATTCGATAAATAGTTCGAGTAAACTTACAATAAAAAATACTAAGCAATCCACAATTGCTGAGATAAAATTAAACTTGCTGAAACGGCTTTTTTTTTAAACTTAACGTAAATTTTTTTCCTTCGAAATCTCAATTTGTTTGAAAGTTCTTGCAATTTCTAGACATTTTTTCAACGAATATTTTCTTATTTAAATGAAGAGGATTCTTCATTTGTTGTACGAAATCAATGCTTAGCTGAAAGCTTTCGTAACAACTTATTATTAATTTACTTTCTTGAAAGAAAGTCATCACATAAATATTTATTAAGTTATTTCATAAATATTTTCTGCCATACTTTTATACTTTAAACTTACAGCATTTGATAATTTATTGTACTTATCATTTACTTATAATTTTTTTATCTTCATTATAAACAGCTTAAATTTACTTTAAATACTAAATTTTTAAAAAGAACCTTTCATAGATGTCTAAAAAATATACTTATTTTTCCTTTATTTATTTTCTTTTGGACATTTCTTCCTTTGAAACTTTGAGTCAGAATCACATGTAATCCTTCATACTTTGAGACTTTTAACTGAAATTAAAATTTCAGCATCTCAATTTTGTTATTTTCGAAAACTTGTATAGAATTTAAGCTGACCTCTTGCAAAAAAAAAAATTTGTTTTGTTTTGTTTTAATTTTACAAGGATTACCCCAACAGTCCCCCCTAATGATTCCAGGGCCATGTTTTTTTTAAAATCAAGCTTGTTAAACACCTTGTATAGATTATAATGAATCACTTTAAGCAATTTTAGAGAATTTATATTTTTGGTGAACAAAATCGATTAGCTTATTGGAAACTCCAATATTTAAGTTAAAGTTCTGTATAATAACATACTAAAATTAAAAATATTAGTTGAAAAAAAATTTTATGGAGTTCTTTTCTTCAAATTTCACTTTGACTGCGAATCATTTTGCTTTGAGTGATAAGCTAAACAAATTATGCTAATATTAGTAGATTAAAAATATAGGTTTTTCCTAAAGTAAATTAAGTGTGCAATATTCACTAAATTAAAGCTGCATTTCCCTAAAGTCAAAATCAAGTCACTACTACAAACATTGAAAGTTGTAATCTTTGAATAATTTCCCCACTAGATTACGGTTATTGAATGACCGTAAAAATACAGCTCTACCCGTTAATGTTTTCTTGCTAATTATATGGCCATAGACCGTAAATTGACATTATGCTTGTTAAAGTGAACTTCAGTTCGAGATTTGACATTGTCGGAGATTCAGTTGATTTCTTTATCAAATTAAGGTAAACCATAGAACGAGACGAAAAAGTGTATTGATTCCATCTGTTGAAGAGTAATTGAGTTTCATATTCTTTGTACGTGGTCACCAATGTAAAGATAGTGAGCTATTTGAGAGAGAACACAGTACATTTGTGTCCGTACCTTGATATTACAACTACAACCAACATTGCAGAAGTGAGTTAAGAAGCTTCATATAACATCCGTATAAATCTATGGCCATCTCAACTCAATCTCTTACTATCACAAGCTCTAGGTTTTTTCCTTATGGAAGAAATGTGGCCACACAACAGTCAACTCTCCGAAATGTTTTAGAGTGTATTGTACCATATTTTTCAATATATTAGCTGTAAAACTCTCTATAGGTGCACTATAATTAATGGCCATGCATTGTTTCCTGGCCGATTCAAGCAGAATTTACTGCAAGGTTATCACTAAAAGAATTTGCCGCCAATCTGAATTCCAACCGATTGCCTAATAACTGGAACAATCAAATTTTAAATAAAGCTCTGTGCTGCATGATATCACAATTTATAAGCGTTAAAGATCACTACAGAAGAATTCATTATTGCCAAAGTGACGAAATTTTTATCATATTTCAAAAAACTTTTATTTTATTTTATCACCATCGTTGAACAGCCACCCAATTTTGAGTTTACGTCTACCAATGTTCAACTCCGTAGCCTTGTAATTTTGAGCTGAATCCAGAAGACAAGGAAACTCCTAGATGAAGTATAGAGAGAGATTTGCCTTGGTTGAGAACTATTTGGAAAAATTAACTCGCATTTGCGTTACATGGAGAAAAAACTGTTAGCCTGACTGCAAGGGGATTCTAACCCACTAGGACATTTTATGTCAAGACTGTGGTCGGTGTGAGTCGGATGTGGTGAGCCTATCACTGGGATTCGAACCCGAGACACCTCATTGGGAGGCAAGCATTCAATCACATGAGTCACCATGGGTCACCTGAGATAACTTAATTGATAAAATCATAACTAAATCTTTTATAATATTTTTGATAGAGGTATCAATCGTTTCTGGATCACAACAAGTAAAATTCGTCCGTAATTAAAATTTATAGTTCATCAAAACATCAATCACTTTTCGACTGGACTGAGTACTGAAATTTCAGCTAGAGGTTTGTGTCTGATAATTGTACAAATTTTTTACACGTTTCAAGCGAAATTTTTGTCCATTTTTAGTGCAATTCGTAATTTCGGTCACCTATACAAACGGACACAATACTAAAATGAAAGAATTAATAAAGTAGAACAAAAACTTTTAAAACTTCTTTCTTCATGTTGACTAAAACGAAGAATGTTCTATTTATATTACTTTTAAAGTAAATACAGAAGGCGCATCATTTTTGAAATAAGCTTCTATCATAACGAATAATGCTCCCAAATTTTTCAAACGTAATGCACCTTACGTATTTTATCCAATGTCTGACAAAAATAGAAATATTTTTTATCCTTATAAGGTATACTTGAAAAAACAACGTTTTTAAACATTTATTTTATTTCATTATGTTAGGATCTTTTACTCAAGAAACAGTGTTAACAACTGTGCCAGCAAGAATTCTGAGTACTGTAATTAATGGAAATTTAGTTTTTTTTTAATAATATTATCTTTTTCTTCTAAAGTTTATCATTTCTTTCATATATCATTTCTTTTATATAGAAAATATTACTTTTTTCTGTTTGGAATTTAATTACCAATAAATTTTATTACTAATAAAGGCTTTGCTTTTTATTTAATTAAATTATACGAAGCAAAAGTTTAGTAATATCGCGAAGAACGTATGACTAGTATTTAAACTAGAGACTCTTATTTGTACCTTTACTAATTTGATTATGAATTTGATTTTGATCGTAATGTTATGACTGATTTCTATACTGTTTGGTGAGCTAATTTCAAAGCTGGTTTCATTTTTTTTTTTTTTTTTTTTTTTTTTTTTTTTNTTTTTTTTTTTTTTTTTTTTTTTTTTTTTTTTTTTTTTTTTTTTTTTTTTTTTTTTTGCTGTCACATAGGGATTCTTACAAATTCACCTATTTCGCAATATCTGGTCAGAGAGAAACTTTACTATTACTACTTCGACAGGTGAGGTATTGCTTCTGATATATATTTTTACGTTGAATTTAATGAAATCAAACTCGAGTCGATAGGTTAAATAGTTTAGAAGTTATTAAGGTTTTCTGTACTAAAAGTGCACTTTTGTATTTATACCTATTTCCGCGTTTGACGTTGCTCTCTTGGTATCTTCTATGTATTTTTGTTAACGCTGAATAAAATAAGATAAAATCAAAGTCTATGGAACTAATACACTATCGACCAATAAGTATTTGGACACCTACGTAAATGACTATATCTGCGGTCCTGAGATATGTCACGCCCTCCGCCAGTATATATCGTGTAGGGAACAACATGGGCATTAGTCCCATGCAAGATGCCTACTGCACTATTTTGGATGACAATGCGCTT